TGTACTTTAAATTTGTCTCATTGATTGGAGATATTTGTATAAATTCATTTCAGTTTTGCAATGAATAATTATGTTATTATAAGAAAAAAGAAATTAAATAACACCTTATATATTTTCGAAAGAGAAAAATATAATGCTGAACTCATCTTATTCCGCACACCAAACTAGTGACTTCAGGCGTTCAAACATATGATTTGGTACATCAAAATTATGTCCGACCGTACGTGTACCTATATTATTGGAAAATCCAGAACTTGTGCCCAACAACACATCACATGATTCAGTGAACTAAATGATATGCCATGACCAAATGAGTTGTATGATAGCCTAAAATCACTGTCTTAAGATTTCATTTTTTTTTTTTTTTAAATAAGCAAAACAGTTATATCAAATTTCGTTTGAAATTACAAAAAAAAAAGTGCTTTAATTTAGGTCATGTTTATTAATTTAATGATAATAAAATTATCTAGAAGTAAGATAAACCATTGGATTAGAAAAGTCCATGCATGAAATCCCATATCTACGGCATAAACAGAACGCAGACACAAATATCTGTGGAAAGACGATTTTTGATAAGATTTTTTCTTTATTGAGAACAATCGAGAGGTTGAAAGCTGACAAAAGGTAAGATATTACAATATACAAAATTACGTAATAAAGCTTAAGAAGCCAATAAACGCAAACAAAGCTAATATAAAAACATATCTAGCTATATAAGTATATATGTGGACAAATGTAGCTGACAGGCGTATGTGGTCGCAATCACGATGGCTAGTTTAGAAAACAAAGACCCACATGGTAAGATATCAACATGAAATCCGAAATTATTTTCAAAACAATTTGATAGAGAATGACAAAGGTTTATTGTAGAGTAAAAGTTAAAATTTTATGATCATTTCTTTTTAATATGAATTCTTTCCATGTCATGAATATTAGACTTTTGGATCTTTTCGATACCATTGTTTTAGTTTTTGTGTAATATAATAATGAATGAGTTAAAACGTGAAAAAAAAAACATTATATGTTTTGTTCGATGTATACAGTTACATATTACATTGAATCTCACAAGAAAGGAAAATTGTAGTAATATGACTATATGAGATTGCATTACTTTAAAGATTAGATCTAAATAGTAATAGTAGTAATGTGAAAGAACAAAAAGAAAACTTATTAGGTTCTTTTACCAAAAAAAAAAAAAAAAAAAAAAAAAAAAACTTATTAGGTAGTAAAAAAAGAAGAGAATGAAGTGGAGATGACTAACTCTAGGGGAAACATCAGAGCCAAGTCAGTGACAGCTTCATCCACATGAACTATTTTTGTCAGTACTAATCTCAATCATTATCGCATTTAATATTTTATTTATCTATTTTGCCGCCTAAGGACAAATATCTTAAAAATCTTCGTCCCATGTCGAGACTTTACTTACATCTATTACCTATAAATACCCAATTCACAAACCAAACTCTTCACATCACCTCTCTCTTTCCTTGCAAATTTTCTGCTCTCAAAGAGTAAAGAGTTGGAGAGAGAGAAGATGGCAATTAGGGAAATCAAAGACGAAGAGAGGGGTGAGATAGTACATAAGGTAGAGGAGGGTCTAGGGAAACCATTTTTGACTCATCAAGATGATGAAAAAGAGAGTGAGAATAATGAATCCTATTTGATGGTTCTCTTCAGCACTTTTGTTGCTGTCTGTGGCTCCTTTGAGTTTGGCTCTTGTGTAAGTTTTTGCCTTTAGAGAGAACACTCTCTTTCCATCAGAGGTTTCCTTTATAATGATTGCCAACCTCTGTCTTATTTAGTTCACCAAACTATTTTCTCAGATTTTCTTTTGTAATCAATTATTTGTTAAAGGTTGGATACTCAGCGCCTACTCAGTCATCTATAAGACAAGATCTCAATCTCTCCCTTGCAGAGGTTTGTATCAACTAGGACTACAGCAATCATCTATAAGACAAGATCTCAATCGAGATTATATTCCACCAAGCCATTAATTTAACTATATATTTTTAATTACAGATCACAGTATATGTGAGATCATTTTTGTGTGTTGTGTAAAAATATGCAGTTCTCAATGTTTGGATCCATCTTAACAATCGGTGCAATGCTTGGTGCTGTTATGAGTGGGAAAATTTCAGATTTTTCCGGCCGAAAAGGGGTAAATCTTGCAAATCCTAAACTTAAGGGGCCAGGCCAAAAATACAAATTCCAAAAAAGATCAATGCTTATATATGGTAAAACTCATTTCAGGCTATGAGAACGTCAGCTTGCTTCTGCATTACAGGTTGGCTCGCTGTCTTCTTCTCCAAGGTATTTAACTTTACACATATAAATAAATACCTATTTGCAACACCGAAACTACATATGCTGAAATTAGTATGGATTTTGATCTTAATATGATGTTAAAATGTGGTGCAGGGTGCATTGTTACTTGATGTAGGAAGGTTCTTTACAGGATTTGGAATTGGAGTTTTTTCTTATGTGGTAATTTACTCTCTTTTTTTCACCAAGTAAATCTTGTATAATAACTCTTGAAATCAACTTTTTATGTAGTAGTCAAATGTAAATCGGTGTGATTCTAATTCTACTGTTTTTTTTTGGGAAAATTACATGTTGATATTTATGAACCAATGTTTATAAAACTCTCAGTCTCCAAAGTAACTAAATCAACAAAAACAGGTCCCTGTGTACATTGCTGAGATATCTCCCAAGAATCTCCGAGGTGGACTCACAACACTGAACCAACTCATGATTGTGATCGGCTCATCGGTTTCTTTCTTGATCGGATCTCTCATTTCTTGGAAAGCTCTTGCCCTAACCGGTAAATTTCTCTCTGTTTCTTGGTTACTCTTTATAGAAATTCCCTTTGAAAACTGATCAATATATGTTTTTGGTCTTAAAGGACTTGCTCCCTGCATTGTTTTGTTCTTTGGTTTGTGCTTCATACCTGAATCTCCTCGATGGCTGGTAATTTTCTCTATCCAATTCATGATTTTCATGGGTCTTTTTTAAATATAAGTTTCCAAAAAAAAGATCTAAATCTTTCATTCGCTTGCTTTTCCAGGCAAAAGCAGGCCGTGAGAAAGAGTTTCGCTTAGCCCTGCAAAAGCTACGAGGAAAAGATGCAGATATCACAAATGAAGCAGAAGGTATTCAAGTCTCGATTCAAGCTCTAGAGATTCTCCCACAAGCAAGAATTCAAGATCTTGTGTCCAAGAAATATGCTCGATCTGTCATTGTAAGTGTAATTTAGAAGCCAAAACACAAGAACTTATCAATCTTTTGTGTATATTTGATTCATTCAACTCAAATCTTTCAGAAGATTAAATGTATTATTTCTCACTTGTGACTGTATATTCTTCAGATTGGTGTTTCCCTGATGGTATTCCAACAGTTTGTTGGAATCAATGGGATCGGATTCTACGCAAGCGAAACGTTTGTAAAAGCCGGTATATAAGATAGACCTCAATATCTTTTCTTGTATCAGAACCAAATTCATTTTAGATTCTAACATATATGTTTAAAACACTTTCAGGATTTTCGTCTGGGAAACTCGGAACAATCGCAATCGCTTGTATTCAGGTGCATAGACGTTTTTGCTTCACTCTATATTCTTCTCTATAATGATTGTATATTCACTACTGTTTAACACAGGTTGAATCGTTTTTATCAGGTTCCCATAACTGTTCTTGGGACAATCTTGATAGATAAATCTGGACGAAGACCACTAATTATGGTACAATCTTTTAATCTACGACATCTGTTTTCCGAGTCGAAAGTTCAATGTTAAATATATATATACAAATGTTGCTACAGATTTCAGCTGGTGGTATCTTCTTGGGGTGTATACTCACAGGCACATCTTTCTTACTCAAGGTACATATCATCAACCCTAGCTAAACCCTGTTTTCACTTTGAAATCTATTAACCTGTGCGTTAACGTTCGCCACATCAACTCTGTTTTACTTTGGATTCAGGGACAAAGCTTGTTGCTTGAATGGGTACCTACCTTAGCAGTTGGAGGTGTACTTGTAAGTAAAACTTAGTTAGTTCTTACTTTTTACTAAAAACAGAATTCAAGAACGGAGCTCTGCGTTAAAGAAATAGTGTTGTTCGTGATGATACTATTAACAATCTCGTCTCTTCTTCACTATTTTAGATCTATGTAGCTGCTTTCTCTATCGGAATGGGACCTGTTCCTTGGGTGATAATGTCTGAGGTATGTTTCCTTGTGTAGAAAGCAACCTTATTTTGAAACAGATTTGTTACTTTTGAAGCAAGTAACTTTATTTAAAAACAGAGTCAATGCTTTTAGAAGAGTGTACTTAAGTGGTGCTCTGTTTTTTGGGGATGAAAAAAACGCAGATATTTCCGATAAACATTAAGGGGATCGCAGGAAGCTTAGTGGTACTAGTGAATTGGTCGGGTGCTTGGGCTATTTCTTACACTTTCAACTTCCTCATGAGCTGGAGCTCTCCAGGTAACACTCTTAAGGGCATGTTTGCTAGAAAAATGTGATCTAACCGCAAGAAAACCGCGTTCCAGAAATTCTTAATTGAGTTTTTTGTTTGTGTAGGTACATTCTATATTTACTCTGCTTTTGCAGCCGCAACGATAATCTTTGTGGCGAAGATGGTGCCAGAGACGAAAGGGAAGACACTGGAAGAGATCCAAGCTTGTATTCGAAGAGAAACATAAGGCGGAATGATACAATCGATTTATATGGGAATGTTATCAAATGACTCGAACTATTCCCGGTGGTGAGCTCATGAATGTCGGACGACAAGGGTTTTGCATGAATGTTTTAGGGATAGGTTTAATTTATATTTGTCTATCTGTTCACGTTAAAGTTTTCATCATTTAGGTTTTTGATTGGTGTATGTCGGTATTGTGTAATCGTTCGTGGAAATTAATACACTGAGGCATGGGAATGTTATCAAAAGACTCGAAATTACCATAATACCCCTCTTTTCTCGAATTTTATTAAGTTGATGACGTGGCAAACATTTATTGATATATTTATTTTTGTTGTTTGGAATTTGAGTTTTCTCTGTTCTCTGGATTTGGATTACTCGAAGAAGGTTAATGGCATCTCCATCATCGTCACCGAAAACGAGAATCTGGTTCCGTACAGTGATCCTGATCTCTTTAATGGTGGTTCTCTTCTATGTTGGTCGTCCTCTTTACTGGAAGATCTCCGCCACAATCCACGATATCCGCCACAACAAACAATCGGTCAGAGAAGGTAAAACACAATCACTTTCTATCTCTCGATGGATTCTTCAACTTTCCCGATGCGATGTGTTTTTTGGATACAGGTATATCGCAGATCGTACACGAAGCGCAGAGATCGGTCGGATGGTATCACGACGAGTCAGATTCAGGGTTCCGGGAAGGTCACCACAAGAAATCAGGAGTCGCCGTATCTAGGAGGCTTCTCTTTGTTGGAGATCAGTGAGAAATTTTCTCCTTTGCTTTCTCAAGTTTTCGAAAATAATTTGTACTAGTGTTGTGTAATGTTTTTTAGGTCAACATTTTCGTGTATCGTTTTGTGGTGATATGTTGTTATATGTTAGATTTAATCAAAAAAGTTATGGATTTTGAAAAGAAACAAAAAAGTTATGGATTTTGTTTGGCTTATACTTTTGCAGATTTGTGAGCTTTTTGCTATTAAGTTTTGAGATTTTACTCATTTGGTTTGTTCTTTGCTTCTGTGATGTTTTGTTTTTTCAGCAGGGATATATTTTGATGTTTTTGTGCGGGATAGATCTTATCCAATGATGATGGAAGCAAAAAAAAAGAGAAAAAAAAAATACTAATAATGTATGGCTGTATGCAAAAGGATAGATGTATATGTATGATTTTCATCTTGGTGGAGACAAATGTAAGTTGTTTAGTGATGATATAGACGTAAGCACTTTGGTTATTCAAGTATTTCTTTCCATTAAACAACTTAGGTCAAGCAAAAAAAGAGTCTTTCTTACACTTATTATCATTATGGGCCAAAAACTCAAGTGGGTTTTGACCAAACTGAATCATCAAACTCCAACAAAACAAAGCACGGCACCTTTTGGTGCACACGAGAAAATTCTTTTATGAAGTTTGCCCAATATATATATATATATATATATATATATCAAGTTGTATCTTCGATATGTTGATTTACTATTTTACCTCATGAATTGATATGTTTGCAGTAGCGGTGGTCGATAATATCCGTATTTGTATTGGAGAGTATGTACACAACTCCGGTCCAATATATTTGGGAGCTTTAGGGCAAAAAAAAAATTTTTGGCCTATTATTATATATAAAGAAAAAATTTATATAATTTTTTTTAGTAAAACTTGTTATTTTAAAAATTTTGTGCTTTTTTATATATTTTCTTATAAAAAATTAGACCTTTTAAAATATAAATTTTATATTAATAATATTTTTAAAAATATATTTGGGCCTTTTTTATATGTAATTTTTTTTTTGAAAAAAAAACTCCGGGCCGTCGCACCTCCGCCCCCCCTCTAAGCCGGGGCTGTATGTACATCAATTACATAATGTAACCAGAGCTGGGTTAAGTATAGGGCTCTAGTAGTGCAATAACTCCAAGTCTATTAATATAGATCTATTCCCTCCGTTTTACAAAGAGTGTCGTTTTAAAGTTTTAATCTTGTTTCACAAAAATATCGTTTTGTGTTTTCAATGCAGTTTTTAAGGCTAAATTTTTTTTTATCTTTACTATTTCAGCTTATTAATTAGATAGATAATATGAAGTAAAAATGAAATTTGTTTACTTTTCTTAATTTATGTGAAAAATGGTAGAATGATAATTTTTTGTGAAACATAAGAAATATTATTTTCTTTATTTTAACAAAAACAGTTTTAAATAATGATTTCTGACCAAAAAAATTAAAGGAACAAAATTATAAGCAACAGGGGCCTAAAAAGATATCTATTTATAGAAAAAAAAAAAGCCCAAAAGAAAATGTTATGAGCAAAAGAGATCTATTTTTAAATTTATGGGCATAATAAACTTGTTTTAGAAATTTGTCTCAAAACCTATAAAATGCCCGTGATGCTTTTCTACCGGTCTTCAACAAGATCACTGTAACATTGCGTTGTATTTTGTGTATGCTTCAAAGTGTAAGTGATCTCCAAACAGAAGTCAGATCAAGCAAAATATTAATTTAAAGCTATAATTCACCCTTTTTATATCAGTTCTCACCTTTAGTTTGTATTCCCTCTGTTTCAAATTATATGATGTTTTAGCTAAAAGCACATTGTTTAAGAAATTTAATTTTCTTTTTAAAGTTATCATTTAATATTTGACTTTTAAAAATTCAACTAATTATAAAAAAAGACTGCATAATCTATATAATAAAAACTATTAAATACATTTAAAATTTGCATTAAAACTTGTAAAATATCTTATATAATGAAACATAATAAAAACTCTAAAATATCCTATATAATGAAAGAGAGAGTACTTTGTAGTGATGCGAAGCATGCATAGCTATTTTTTTTTTTTGGTGAGAACGAAGCATGCATAGCTATGAGCCTATGACCAAACCAACTCGACATTTTTCTATACATATTATAAAGTCTTTTGTATAAATTATCCATTATTGATGAAAGACTGAAAGAGATAATGTGGGACCTCCATTCGACTTAGAGAACTACTCCCTCCGTATTTGAATAAATGTCGTTCTAGCCTTTTTTCTGTGTTTTTAATTAGTTGTCATTTTAACAACTTTTGCATAAAATTTCCTAAATTACCCCTAATTAATTGATCATAATTAATCAGTCTAAATTACCAAAACTACATATACCAAAAATATAATTATAAATAATCGTTTCTCATAAGGTTAGTTTTGTAATTTTGTGCCCTTTCTTAATTTACCCAAAAACAGTTGAAACGACATTTTTTCAAATACAGAGGGAGTATAATTTTGCGGGTTCCTGCTTTGTTATTTGTTAAGCTTATTTCGATCCACATAATTAAGATTTAAGAGTAATTACAAATAATATCGATTCTCGTTTAACAGGTTACATGATATATTGTCCAAAACGTAGATGTTGGAAATTATCGTATGAATAACACCAATATATCGTTTTATCCTTTTATATAAAAACTACCACCCTTTGGACAAACTCCTTCATTGGCGTATCTCCTTGAAACCATAATGGAAATTCCAAAAGAATCGTAAAGTTTGGATCTTCCGATTTTGACTTCTCGCTTCTTCTTTTCTTTTCTATGTTGCGACTTATCTTCTTTAAATTTATTTGCTTATTGAAGTCGAATCTTCTTATTCATAATTACATGGTTACACGCTATGAATATTTTATAGTTTTATGCTATGAATATTTAAATGTATCATGTGATGTATTTTTAAAACCTTTTTTGCTGGTCACGGTGGAAAGTTCCCGTCAGTGTACACTCTTGCATATCAAAGCGCAAAAAATAAATAAAAAAGGCATAGGTTTCTTAAACTTATTGAATCAAACACTTTGAGATTTAAGGATTATGACTTATAAAGAACAACTTTCTTTATTGCTTTGGAAACTAACTCAAAACCAAGCTTTCACAATCTCTCTAATCTCTCAAAACTCTTAAAACGCTCTTAGGGTTAACCACATCTTTGGCACACCTTATATAGAGAGATAATCCTAACACACTTAGGATTAGGTCTTTAAAATCTATCTAGAAGCTTCCTAAACATAAACCGACTTGTTTATGTTACGTGGGCTTTAAGCCTTTTCAAGTTTAATCAACATTTTCCCGCTTAAACTTGAAGTCACATCTTGACACATCTTGAATCCCAACAAGTTCTCTCATCTCTTTAAACTTGATTCTTCCTAGTGCTTTAGTTAGTATATCAGCCTTTTGTTCTTCTCCCGGAACATGCTCCACATCCACTAACTCGTTCTCAACGCATTCTCGTATAAAATGATATCTCTTATGTATGTGCTTGCTTCGCCCATGGAACACGGGATTCTTAGCAAGAGCAATTGCAGATTTGTTGTCGATCTGAAGCATTACTCGTTCAATAGTTTCACCAGTGACTTCTCCCAAAAGATCTTGAAGCCAAATGGCTTGTTTAGCTGCCTCAGTTGCGGCCATAAACTCTGCCTCGCAGGAGGACAAAGCTACCGTATCTTGCTTCTTCGTACACCAAGTAATTGGGCAGTCTCCAAGGTAAAAGATGTGACCAGTAGTGCTTTTACCATCGTCTTCATCCACGTTGTGACTGCTGTTACTATACCCTATCAATCCTTGCTTTGTTCCCCGAGAAAAAGAAAGTCCATAAGAAAGAGTACCACGCAAGTATCTAAGGATTTGTTTTAACGCAGCACCATGAGACTCTTTTGGATCTTGCATGTATCTACTTAACACACCAACATAGTAAGAGAGGTCTGGTCGTGTGTGGAGCAAATACCTAAGACATCCAATGTTCCTCCTAAACTCCTTTTCGTCGATACTTTTCTCCTTTTCTGCTTTTGACAACTTCAAACCAAAGTCCATTGGTATGTGAACCGGATTGCACTCTCTCATCTTGGCTTCTTCAAGAATTTTCTCTGCATATCTTCCCTGTTTCATAATAATACCCTTCTCATGCTGAATCACTTCAATGCCTAGATAGTAAGTCAATAGGCCAAGATCACTCATCTCAAATTTTGAAGACATTCCTTTCTTGAACTCACTGATTTGATCCAAGCTAGATCCTGTGACAAGTAGATCATCAACATAAACAGCCACAACAAGAAGATGCTCATTCTCTTGCTTCCGATACAAGGAGGGTTCCTTTGAACATTTTATGAAACTCAATTCTTGAAGTATCTTGTTTAACTTGTTGTTCCACGCTCTTGGTGCTTGCCTAAGCCCGTAAAGTGCCTTATTCAACATGTACACTTTATCTTTATTTCCTTCAGTTATGAAACCCTCTGGTTGTGAAACAAACACTATCTCCTTTAACTCTCCGTGTAGGAATGTCATTTTTACATCCAAATGATGCACTTCCCAACCATTTGAAGCTGCTTAAGCAATGATGAATTTGATAGTCTCTATTCGTGCTACTGGTGCAAATACTTCGTCAAAGTCAACTCCATGTTTCTGCACATATCCTTTAGCGACTAGTCTAGCTTTATATTTGTTTATACTCCCGTCTGAATTTCGTTTGATTTTGAATACCCACTTAAGTCCAATCGCTTTAGCTCCGGCAGGGAGATCAACAAGATCCCATGTTTTGTTCTTTGTAATCGACGAGATTTCATCCTTGCATGCTTCTCTCCACTCTTTCATATGTTTTGCTTCCTCATAGTTCCATGGTTCTTCATCTAAAGCCATTAGGAGAAGTTCACCTTCAATCTCAGCCAGAAGAACATAGTCATTTAGGTACTTAGGTTTTGTAATTTGTCTCTGTGAGGCTCTCAAAATTTGAGGCTGTATTTGTTGAGGACTCTGCTCCTGACTCTCAGCTACCTCCTCTGTTTCTTCCGCACTAGGATCATCTTCTTTCTCTATATCCTCAGACTCACTTCCCTCCTCATCACGTTCCTCAGTGATGATGTTTTCTCCAACTGTTTGGTTTTCTATGTTTTGATCCTCTTGTAGTCCATTATTTCCAAATTCTCCAATGCTCACTGTAAATGTTTGAAACTCTGTATCGGGTTCTTTTCTTGAATGGTTCCACTTCCAGCTCTTATTCTCATCAAACACTACATCCCTACTCACGGTGACCTTTTGAGTAGTCGGATCCAACAATCTATAAGCTTTTGAACCTGGTTCAGTGCCAAGATGAACTAAAACCCTAGATCGATCATCTAACTTTCTCAGATGTGGAGACTCTGTTTTTGCATATCCAATGCAACCAAATACACGCAAGTGTTCAACATTTGGTTTTCTTCCCTTGAAAGCTTCATATGGAGTTTTTGTACTCAAGAC